AGCAGCTGCATACTTTTATTTTCAGAAAGAAGTCTGCGTGGACTATTTTGCTCAGTGTGGCAAACGAGTTGCACGGCTTGCAAGTGCGAATCAGTTAAATGAATGATTAGTTTGTAAGCGTCTGACTTGTGGGATGTCCACGCTTGAAAACGAGTTTGTGGCTAAAAGCTCAGGCCTTAAACGAAAGAGTTGTAAATTACCGTAAACGATTTGGGTGAAAAGATATAAATTGATTGCTAAATGAACCTGAATTGATAGCGAGGTGTATGCTCATAAATATGCAATTTCAAAAAAAAAAGTATGAGCTGACAAAATAATTGATTATCTGATGGAGAAAAGATGTTTTTGGCGCGTTAACGTCATTTTTTTCATTTTAACTTAAATTTAAAGGATTTGAGAATGCTTCAAAGATTCAATTAAGATTACTCTTGTTTTTAAAAATTTCCATGAATAAATATGAATTCTGTGTAATTTAATTTCAAATTTATACAAATTATATGAACTAAAAACCAAAATTATAAATTAATTTGGTTATTTAAAAGAAATCCAAATTTCAGAAAATTTAATGCATTATGTATTGTGCATGTGTGTATTTAATATAATTATATATTGTTTATAATTATGTATTTTAATAAATACATAAATACTTATGTAGGATATTGTATATATGTATACTTTTTGTAAAAAGCTTTAGGTTAAATGTGGTCCCTTTTTGAATAACCGATTGAAATATGCGAATAATTTTCAAACTATACTGCAAAGCTTGGAGAAATTAAATGAATGATGCTAAAAAATTTTAAAAAATGGTATTGAATTCCCCCTTTAACTTTTTTTCCATAGATTTTTTTTATAGATTTTTAGATAGGGTATTCATACATATGTATATCTGATATAGTACCAATCCTATATCTTATAGTATAGGATATACCAATCCTTTACGGAATCTAGGTATCAGACCAATTTGGTACAAATGAATTTTGAAAAAGTGCCAAGTACACCAAAGGGTATGCAGAAACGAAAGCCATAAGGCCCAGCCCAAAATTCCCCAAAATGTATTATACTCACGAAGAATTTCTGAGTGGAAGAACAAGCATAACCAAATTCTTCGGCTTTGCTTTTGGTCTCGATACTAAAAAGTATAAAAAAAGGTTCGATGACTTTGTGAATTGCATTTCGAGGGGCACTTCACACTCGACGGAGCGGATTGACGGATGTATGGGTGGACAAGCTGACAAAACGTGCCACTCTGCAAATGCCAGTGTGGGGAATGAAAAAATAAATAAACTTGCGTCTGAGGCATGCCACGATCCCCAGCGATCCGATAATTGCGCCCAAAAGAGAGCGCATAAAAAACTGAAAAATTGAAACTCTCGAAATGAAGAAAAACCATAATAAAAAAAAAAAATTAAAATTGAAAGAAAGAGAAAAAAGCGAGACAAGCTGGACCCAGACAAGTTAAACGAAAACCAAAACAAAGTCATTAAACGCAGAGTGCCTCGAAAAGTAAAATAAAAGCGGAAAATTACCGAGCAATAATACACAGAAAGAGTTAAAAGAGCTGTTACCTGGGCTGCTTTTCATTTTCACTTTCACTCGGCCGAAGGTGGGAAAAGTGGGCGTCAGTCAACATTTACCATACCATGTCTCGCTCTGATAATCCGCCAAAAACGCCCGGCCGGATAGAGTTCTCCGTTCTAAATGGGCGGTTACATCTCGTTGCCCCGCAAATGAGTCAGAGAGATGGCCCACAAAGCGCAAAATCAGTTGACAAATCCGGCCGGGGAAGATGGCCCAAAAAGCGGAACAATACCAGGCCATTTGGTTTTAATGGAAAATTTTCCACAACGTTTTCGAGGTTACTTTGTAATGTCACACGAGTTATGGAAAGCTTACCTTTGACTTAAAAGCCTTGAAGTAATATGAGCTATTCTACATGCCCGATCCTTAGGTTCTTGTAATTTTGCTCATAATGTCTCAATTCAATAAACACGGCAGTTATAGCCATTATAAAAGAACTATAGGGCAGTCTTGTCTAGTGAACATCAACCAGTGCTTTATAACGTAAAAGGGATTACCCACACAAACTTTTAAACAAACTTTTACCATTACTGTGTGTAAATAGAGCCCTTTTGTCAATTTTTGCTGCAAGTAAAATTAAAGATCCACGCAGTGGAACAATAGAGAAACTAATGATACCTTTGACATAAATACATAGATTGTAATAAAAACATTGCATAAGATACCAACTTGGACGAGGTATGCAAATAGGAAACTTAAATAGGTTAAACTAATACCTTTAGGTTTAAGTTAAAGATCACTTCAGCTTGCTACCGAATATGTGTATTCGAGGCAAAATATGGGTGTACATGGATGCGTATGCAGATGTAAAATCCATGATAAAATAACTCAAATAGTGTCATTATTGATATTTTGTTAAATTTCAGTTCAATTTATGTTCAGTGGTCGGCAGTCAATACATTTATATTATTTAAATGGATTAATATTAGTAACAAATAGCAGAAAGTAGGCTGTGTGTGTGGCAGAGCACGGGCAGAGAAATTTCGTATTCCCCTAGAATAGGCCCCTACCGACTACTTTAGTCCGACTTCATCCAGATTTGTAAAGCGAAAGTTGTTCAACATATATGTAAATGTTCTAAATAAATTGTTACCTTAACTGTGAGCAAAAAAAATGACTTTATTTTTGTTGCAAACATAGACCAGATTGTTATATGAAACCACTCTAAATAAATCCACCTCGGGTGTAAGTGGAAAAACTTGCATGCCAATAACCAAAATTTTTTATAATTTTTATGAATTTTTAATAATTAGTAGTGAAAAATCATGGATTAAGCCGCAATCCAAAGCAAATTTGAATGCCTAATAATAGGGTTATAAATAATTGGAACTTCAAAATCGGGAAAAATGGCATCACTGCAAATCAAACTCAGCTTTAAAGCTTTGTAGCGATTTGGCCTACTGTATAAGAGGCCTGTTATTTCTCTTGTGATTAAAAAAAATCTACAATTTACCAAGTCCACGAAATGTTTTAATTTATTAACGCAATTTAATCCCAAATTCAACACTTATGTGTATATCAACCGAACTTTTCACGTAAAAGTGCGGTTTCATTACTGATTTTAGGCAAAACACTAGCAAGATTGTCGGTGTGTTTGAAATAACTCAATATAGGCATGTATGGCATCCTAAAGTCATGATACAATTATATAATTGTATCATGCCTAAAGTGAAATGGAAACGAAATTGAGTGGAAGTGTTTTTTGTGGCACAACTGATAGTTATTTTTTGCTTTTTTTTTTTTCTTTTTTTAAAGCTTTTATTCAATGGAAATATATTATCGCTTACAACATTGTATACAAGATTGTATGTTTGTTTGAAGCTTTTCGATGTTAGTGTTTCTTGTGGGGATACTGTGCGTGTCACTGAAGATGGTGGTGCTACGCCTACCCGCTCGTTTACTTCTTACTTGTCACATTATCCCTTTCTGCGTGAGAGTCGTTCTTTCTGCTTTTGAACGACGCTTATTTATCTGGTCCCCAGCACTGTTGCCACCATTGGCCATGTACTCCATCATGGCGCAAACGTAGTCCTCCTTGGCCTTGGCAGCCTTGGCCTCCCATTCCGACTTGTCCGTCATTGAACGCCATAATTCACCTGCCTTCCTAGTCACTTCGGTTACTTTGATCCCGGGGTTATCTTTTTTTATGGACTCACGGATACTGCTGAGCCACAGCATGTAGGAGGAAAGTGGGCGTTTCGGTCTTTCGGCCATTTCAGTTTGTTTTTTCTTGTTAAATATTTCGAGCTTCTCATGTGAGTTTGAAGTTAGTACTGATTTTCCCAAGAATACTTTTCTCAGTCGTTTGACAATTATAGAATATAGTCTACTGATTTCAGTTATATTTCCTGAAACACGAAAGTTACGGCACCGTTGCTTACAAGTATTATATGATAGTGCCCCATACCCGCTATTCAGACAATAATATAGCCTATAAGATGTAAAATAATAAATATATTATATAATATGTATATAATATTAAAAAAAAATATGTTATCTATAGTATACAAAATTAAACCTGGACATGTAAAAAATTTAAAGAACATAAAATGTGTATATCTATTCCATAGATGATCTTTAACAAGAATATAAGATTAAGATTCTTATATCTTCATATAGATCTATTCAAATCTATTATATCTTCTTATACCTCATAGATTTGGGGAAAACTCCTTATTTTAGTTGCATACTTTTGGGAAAAGTTACAGGGCCAAGGTTATAACATAAAAACCGATTAGTATAAGCTGCCAATTGAGTAGCATAAACGTTAAAAAAAAGGTTATAACTTAAAAAAGTTTTAAAATCAATAGCATCGTCTATTCTATTTAATTATCGACTGTGTAATACCCTTAAAAAAACTTATAAGTTACTAACAGAAACAAAACAACAAAGGAATGCTAACTTCGAACGGAGCCGAAGCGATATACCCTTGCGGTTAAGATTAAATATTTATCCAAACATCGGATATAGTTGGCCGATCCTTATGAGAATATCAAAATAAAACCAATTTATTACAATACAAAATCTAAAAGAAAGTTCCGAGCTTCTATCTTCAAAAATACCAAAGTTTGTATTTTATATACCAAATACCGTTTCCGATCGTTAAGTTATATGGAAGCTATATGATCAATCATTTACATGGCAGCTATAGGATATAGTCGGCCGATCCCGGCCGTTCCAACTTATATACTGCGTGCAAAGGAAAGAAGGGTGTGTGCAAAATTTCAAGTCGATAGCATTTAAACTGAGAGACTAGTAGAAACAGACAGACGGACATGCTTATATCAACTCAGGAGGTGATCCTGATCAAGAATATATATACTTTATAGGGTCGGAGATGTCTTCTTCACTGCGTTGCACATTTTTGACAAAAATTATAATACTTCCTGCAAGGGTATAAAAAGCCAATAAAAAACTTACAATAAATGTTCATGATATACCTTTTATTTGATTATAATACGATCTATACCACATCCCTAAATTAAGCTGTTTCTTTTCACCAAATTACACAAAATCGAAGACCTGCTCGGGGTGATCTTTCGGGTTTTAAACTGAAATCAATAATTTCAAATTAAACCTTTCTTGATCCTTTCCTTGTCCATTTACAAATGCGCATTTTCCCTGATCCATTGGTTCAGTTTGGAGACCCTTTCATAGCCATCGGGGGCTGCCCTGGCACAGCCACCAATAACGAAGCTGGCGACGCCCACCAGCTGCCCCTCGTAGGTGGCCGGTCCGCCGGAGTCCCCGTTGCAAGCTCCCTTTTTGGAATCGTGCAACAGACACATGGTCGTGTCGTACAAGTCGCGCATATACCTTCGCTGACAGGTCTCTCTCGATATGTGCTTCACGCGAAGATACAGTAAGTTATTGGATATGGGCCCGCCCTGGGAAATCCTTCCCCACCCGGAGATTTCAACGGTGGCATCGTTGGGCGGATCGCTGGTGGCCAACTTGATGGCCTTAATCTGAGAGCTGAAGTCGAGGTTCTTCTCTAGTCGAAGCACAGCCACGTCGTGTCCCTTTCCCTTGTAGGAGGGGTTCACTGTAACGGCGGCCACTTTCACGCGAACTCCGCCGTCACTAAGGGTTAGACTTCCGGCCTGGACTTCGAGTTGACTGGCTGGAGTTCTAAGGGGTTAGAAAATTTTAAAAAATCAGTTATGTCTTTTACTTGTACCGACTGTCTTGAATTAAGATTTACTTTTTATATCTAGAAAGGGAGAGGTATTTTGAAAATGCATTTTTTTTTTTTATAGATTTTAAGCAGTCCTCTATATATTCAGCAAAAGGAAAGAACTGCCACTATGAAAATTTGCCACTGTGTGATACTGTACCAGATCTTTTAAGTTAGAATGATTGTCAATTTTCCCCATTACATACATTTTTACTCTTCCTCCCTGTACCTGGAATGAATATTTCTTTAATTGATTTTTTATTTTCTCTTGTAAGTAAAAAACGTAGAGACAAAATACCGAAACTAATGGCATCGGAAGAGATCACATTTAAATGAGATCACATTTTTAAACATTTACATTTCACATCCTCCTACATACTACCATATATACACTGTATGCTACATCGTATTCCACGAGTACAGGGTATGAACATTGTATACTTACACATTATTACCTGACTTGACGCAATGGGCGGCAGTGAGGACATAATTATTGGATAGGATGGATCCTCCACAAATGAAGCTGCCTCGGTTACGGAGTGCGATTTGATGCGGAAATTGTCCGGATGTGGCCCGTGTGCCGCCCACAATACGGGGCTCGATATCAATATCCGTATCGTTTTTCTTTCCCTTTGCCAGGATTCCGCCAACGCACAGGAGAAGGAAAAATGATCGAACAATTAAATACATGACTTGTTGGGTTTCTCTTTTCTGAGAGTTCTGGCTAGACAAGGGTCTTGGCGGGCTTTATTTATTTAAGATCCCCGAAATCGGGGCTCATCATCATTAGTTCCCTGACATGTCAAAGTCAATGCTGCGCTATCGAACTTTAACTTAATTTCCCTTAATTTGTTGCTTTTTGTGTCTTGGCTAGTGAAGCAACCTTAATTGCAAATGGATTTTGTGAGGCAAAACAAAAATTGTCAGCATATGTGGTTAAAAAAGAGAATGTTTTGTTTTTAACTACAAAAATGAGATAAAAAGACTAAGTAAATATTGAAAAAAAAACACATTAAATGAGAATAATATTAAGATTTGAAAATAATAAAAATTTATGGAAAACTAATGTATCCCTAGAACCACTATTTTAAGATCCAATTATTTATTGTATGATATTATAATATTATTATTTTTTATAAATGTATGTATCAAAATATTGAGTATATTGGCGTCATAATGAGTATCTATACATATTACATACACTAACTCTGCAAGTACGGGAAATAGTTATGAAAATTATTATTTTGTTCCAAAACTATCTTCCTTTTTTAAATCTCTCAGAACAAGGACAATGATTATACATTAAACTTTAACTTTATTTTTTTAATTTATATATATAAAAGTACTATAAATAGTTTATATAATGGCCATTATTAATTCCAAACACCAAAAACAACTTTGGCTGATATCTTGAATTTCATGCCATAAAGGCATTTTCCCCTATTGAGGTCATAAATAAATGAGAGTTTCAGACTAATGGCGGCGGTGTTTAGTAGGTGATTACTACGTTAACTGTTTCGAAAGGGTAGTATAACTATAACACAGTGGCAATCGCATCACAGATCCTTATCCTTATCTCAGTCGATTCATTGAGTCACGGTAGTTAAATAAGACTGTTTGGAAGTTCAGGGGTGGAAAAAATTATTATTTTGTTGTGGGTAAAATATAAGTTTCAATTTTTTTTTTTAATTTGAGTAAATATATTGTGGTTGTTGCTATTGAGTTTTCATAAAGACCCCAATAATAGTAGTAATATTATAGTAACACACACACATATATTTTTTATGTTTCTTAAGATATATGTATTTGTCTTGTATTTACATATTTCACAAAACAAAACCGGCTAACAAAAATAAATAGTTTAGTGTTTAGGCCAACTGCTCTTGAATCCATTCGGAGTAGGCCGAAAGGCGGACGAACACGTCCGGGTAGCGGGAGCCGCAGGCGCCGACCACGAAGCTGCAGACGCCAATCAGCTTGTTTTGGTGAACCGCCCCGCTGCCGCCGTCCCCGTGGCAGGTGCCCTCCTTGAGTTCATGGGCCAGGCAGAAGCTGGTGCTATCGTGACTGCTGTAGGCGTCCAGACAGGCCGCCTCCTCGGCCACTTGGAGACCCAGGTCCCGGATCTTGTTGGAGGCGGTGCCCTCGACAGTGCGACCCCACCCGGCTACACTGACCTCAGACCCCGCCTCAGGCAGGGCCTCCCCGCTGGCGGCCACCTCGATGGCCTGGATTCGCTCGGTGAAGGTCAGGGGTTCACTCAGTTTGAGTATGGCCAGGTTGTTGTCCAAGTTGTCGTAGCTGGGGTGGACGGTGACTGACTCCACATGCGCAATCTTACCGCCTGCGTACTGGTTCGTGGTGCCCACTCGGACAGACAGGCGGCTCGCGTCCAATCTTTAATATGATAGAAATTATTAGGATGTATAAATGCCGATAAAGTTATTTCTGCAAAGTTATTTCTCAAAAAATGAAGAAGGATATTTCTCTTACTCTTAATATTTCCTCATAATCATTATTAATAAAGAAAGCCAATGGCCTTATAAATTTTTACTACTTTACTACGATAAACGATACTACTAAATATACAAGGATAATAGATGACAGGAGTATCTGGTAACTTACAGAGAAGCCATTAAGTATCGACTGGTATCAAATAACTCGCAGATGTCTTTCTTTTTGTCTGTAAAATTAATTTTGCAAATTTTAACCAAATTTCGGTTAAAAGAAACTTTTTTTTTAAAAGTTAAAAAAATAGTTTTACAGTAACCATTTCGTTAAATTAAGAAGTAAGAATTTTTCAAAAGGTTCTAAGTTAATTCAATACTTTAATTTAATGAAATACAAAACAATACAATTTTAAATAATTTTATAAATAAATAACTTTAATGTCTTATGTCTTATATTTCACAAATATTCTTGATAAAAGGTCCATAAATAAAATCAAACTGGAAACTATTACCTAATTTTAAGAGCAAATTTCTTTAAATTGAAAATACATTTAGCAAAAGTTAATTTTGAAATTTTCCATTGTTGATGTTGACTAATAAAAACTAAATAAAATTGTTAATTAGACTAAATGTTGGGCGAAAGCCTTATCTTTCAATGACGACTAACTACGAAGCCAGATTTTTATTTATCTTTTGTATGTTTTACTAACAAAAATTGTATATGAAAGAATTTTATCGCACAAAAGAATTAGACATATTTGTGTATATTCCAACTCGAATCTTTAAAAGTTTTTTATAATTCTCTTATTTTTTATTTTGTTCGAACTTCACCATTGAGTTATACTGTTTATAATTATATGAAAAATTAAGTTTCCAAAATCTAAAACTCATGAAAGTTATATTCTTTGAATTTAATAATATTGCAAATATGTATTTTATCAAATATTTGATTAAATGTAAACTTACAGTTTATTGTCGCGATGCACACAGTGGGCGGCGGTGAGAAGGGTGTTCGTGGACGTGATACATGCCCCGCACGTGTGGGCGTTGTCCACTCGCAGTGAGGCGGCATAGGGCGTGTCATATGCCCCTGCCTCCTCTCCGCCCAAAATCCTACCGCCCGCCTGTGCCATGCCCACTAGGGCCAAGGTGATTACTCCCAGAATCAAAGATTTGTGCTGCATCTTAATAAAAATGTCGAGTTTAAGACCAAAAACTTCAGTTCTCCGCGGCGGTTAAAATGGGAATAAACGTCGGTAGTAGGTCGACAGTTCTAAAGTGGTCAGAACTAACTGTATTCAGTAAAACCCCACTGTTCCCTTTCCTCCTTTTGACCAGGTCTTATCTCCGGCTTTGGGTCTTAAACAAAATCTAATCTTATCATCTTCATTTCCAACTGAATTGGACGGGCTACGTACTTTATTGTATTTTTTATGCCGCTTACTTGTTATTTCACCGATCAATTGGCACATAAATAGAAAATTGCACGAGGCAGCCGTAAGAGTAGGATGTTCTGGAGGGGAGTGGGGATTATTATTGATCTATTGTCGTGACAAGACAATGCGATCCAAAGATAAAGCCCATTTTGATAGGGATGAGTAAGGATGGCATGAGTCAGATGGTTCCAAAAAATACGGGAATTTCTTTCAACGAATCTTAATCAAAATTATAACTTTTAATTATTAAAATGGAAGTTTCAACAACTGTTGATTATTTTTTAATTAATATTATGTTTTTGTATGCCTCAAATGCCTTATTCTTAGAACTAGAAATAAATTAATTAAATTTTTGAAAATTGGTTTAAGAAGAAAAACTTGAACCTATGAAACAACTATTGTTATTTTAAAAGTACTATGTTATTTTAAAGTATAGTTAAAAGTAAGATTTTTTAAAAGTACTTCTCCCGAACTTTAAGGAACTGTTTTTTGTCTTAAGTTAACTTCTGCTAAGTTAGCAGTTGTGTTCTTTCATAAAAAAAGTGTATTATTGGTGATGAATTTTAGATTCTCAATTAGAAAATAATCATCAAAAGACTCGATTTTTTAAGTTGATTCCGAGTTAGAATACGCAATGGTTTTTCATTTAAATATCTCACTGTCTCTCGCAAATATCTCAATAAAATTATTATTTACGTTCCATATAAATATCTTCATATATATATCTATCTTATTTTAAATATAAATATATAAATATCAGTCTTTACTTCACCAACTTTATTTAGAAGGAAAGAAAAAAAAATACTGGTATTTTCCCACAAAGCAAAATTGGATTAAGAAGAATAAGCCAAGTCATAAGTCATATTGAAGCAATAAACACTCCTAGCTTATTTTGCGAGGGTTATAATAGGTTTCCTAATATGATTATGGGGTTCTCCCAAGATCTCTATCGGTTTCCAGGCTGATACTGTCCACTAAGCGAATAATAAACTTAAATGGCGTTTCAAAAACCATAAATCAAATTGTAAATCTACCGAAACAGACCTCGTTTTAAATTGGAATTGTTATTAGATCATTACTTGCTATAATCCTAACGTTATCTAATAATTTGATGGTTATTTCGTAACTCTGTTTAATAAACTTTGGTCGCCGATTGGCGCCTTGTTGGTTATATAGATTCCTTTTTTTTACGATGGGCCATAAATTCCGCTTGGGAAAGAAAAAACACAACGTTGGTCACATTTTTTAAGGTATTTTTTTGTTATTTAGGAGGAAGCACACTATTAAGGCACAGTAAAAAAAATGTGTAAAAAAAAGGGGGTAATCCTGGCGACTTTTCACTCCTCGGCGGTATTGGCGGAAATCCAGTCCAGATAGTAGGAGACCCTGGTGGATATGTCTGGGTACTTGCTGCCGCAGTCTCCAAAGAAGAAACTGGTAATGCCACGCAGGATCTTCTGGTCATCGATGACACCGGCTCCGGCATCTCCCCGGCAGATGCCCTCCTTCTCAGCACGGGACAGGCACACGGTAGTGTTGTATCCGTATCCGGCAGCCAGCTCGCAGTACGGAGCACTCAGCGTATTGAAGTTGGCCTTCTGGAGCTTGTAGCCGGCGGATCCGTCCGAGAGCTCGCCCCACCCAGCCACATAGACCGGCGTTCCATTGGGAAGCTCCTCCTCTTCGGCCTCAGTCTCCTCGGTCTCACCCTCGCTGGCAGTGGGCAAGGTCACGGGTGCAATGCGGTCGCTGAGGGTCACGGGTTCGTTCAGTTCGATCAGGCAAATGTCGTTAAGGAAGTTTCCGTAGGAGGGGTGGATCAGGATCCTCTTAACAGACACGATGCTGCCTCCGGCAAACTGATTGATGCTTCCAACTCGCACCTGCACGTCACTGGTACTTACACTGTAAAAAAACGGGTAGTGGCTTATTAAAAATTTAAAAAAAAAATGAGGATGACATTTAGATCAACACTGGATTTAAAGGATTTTTAATGTAATAAAATTATTGATATGAAATATAAATATCACTGAAGACAGTAGTCTATGTAGGTGACAAGCGCGAAGTGGCTACTAAAGGCCACTTTTTTTTCAAATATTTTCAATAATTAAAACGACATTTAAAAATAAGTTTCGTTAAACTTAAAGAGACATACATATAAATATATTCAAAACATGATATATTCTTTGGTATATACATATGTATGTATGCACAAATATAATTCTTATATAATTCAAGTTAGGTGTTTTATATAAATTGCTTCAAAAATTACGGATTATCTAAATTAACATTCCATTAGAAAACAAGTGTATTTTTATTACAAATAATCTACTAAATTTATTCTACATATGTACTATTTTGTTTAAAAAATGTTGTCTCATGAAACACAATAGCCCTGTTCACGTTTTGACTGAAGTGCTAAAGTAATATGTATGTACATTTAGTGTCATGTTTTTTTTTACTCTTATTGGCATAGGTAAATGCATATAGAATTAAAATAAACAAAAAGATAAGATACGTTTTAAGAAGCTTTTAAAATTTAAAGAATGTGCCTTTGTTGAGGACTTTATAAAAAACATTTGGGACTTTTTATTCAGTTTTTAAAAAGCGTTTTTAGGCAGTTATTTCGTCAAAGAATATATTTATACCTTTAGATAAAAATACACTCTTTATTACCGAAAGCATACGCTATTAGAAATGTTTATAATATATGGTACTTACGGCGTGGTTCCCACGTCGGAGAGGCAGTGGGCGGCGGTGAGGATGTAGCTGTCTGAGATGAGGCTGCCGGAGCAGGCGTGGGTCTTCAGGTATCGGACAGAGACGGACCAGGGAAACTCTCCCTGGATGGCGTCCTCCCCACCGAGAATCCGGCCCTGAGGCAGGGCCTCCGTCTCCGGAACCAGAGCGACTCCGGCGCAAATCAGACCGAGGATTAGCAGGGTGAGCTGGGGACGTGGATCAGCCATGGCGATTGATTGGCAACTGAACGAGCAAACTGACCATCGATCGATGGTCGCCACAGAGCAAACTTTGTGATCTAATCGGTGGCGGAATATACAGTCCGATATAGCCCGGGCGATAAGGCAATTTATGGGTTGAACAGCCACGATTAGATTGCTTAACCCATGGCTAACCGTCGTAAAATCGTAAATGCTTTTGGGCTCTATAAAGGCGATCGTCGGGCAGGAGCAGCTCTTAGTGCCAATTTCTGGGAGCATGGGTCCGGTTCGATCACTTTCCGTCTGTCTGCTCGTTCTCCTGGTGACCTTGGGGGTCCAGAGCTCCCGTCTCCCGGCGGAGGTCGGCTCCCTCCCGTACACCATCTCCGTTCGCCGGAACGGCCAGCACATCTGCGTCGGCGCCCTCTACAACGCCAAGTGGGCCTTCACTGCCGCCCACTGCGTCAGCCTAAGCGGTGGACTACAAAGGTACACGAATATATATCGAAATATTATAAGTACTTAGTTCTAGTTGTTGCAAATGGTATCTCACTTTTGCACTTCTGACACTTTACAATGTAAAGTTTACATAGTCGAAACAACTTTTAGAAAATACATTATATAAATATACTACTAAATTAAAAAAATTACACACGTGGTATATTCGAGTAGCAAAAAAATAATTTTAACAACCATAAAAAATTCTAATAGTGTGAGAATTTTATTAAAACATATTTTTATTAGGTATATATATATTTTTAATAGGTAAATATGTGTAGGTTTATTGTGATTGATCGTTTCAAAACCAATATAGCCTTGTTATCCACGCCCATGAGTACCGGGTATAAATATTTTGGTAAAAGTGAAATTTAAATCGGTATTATCTCGAATACCTGAATATCAAGAGTATTTCAAAGTGTTCGAGTGGCTTTTAATATTATAGTAGTAAAAACTTAGACCCCTTTAAAAAAAAAAAATAAAAAAAAAATTTTGAACAAAACAAAATTGTTTTTTTTTTTTATTTAAGCAAAAAGTTGACTTGCAAGTTTCAAATAATTATATTTTATAATTTTTGTATTGCGACTTAGAATTGGAACCAATATTCAATATGGACCCAAATACATACGAATTAAATATATTCTGTGCCTTTGAAATATAACTCATTTATTTAATAATTCAATAAATAATTAAATTATTTATAAATAATTATATAATATCTTTCGATAATAATACCTAAACATTAGTTGTAATTTATTTATAATTAAAGCCAAATATCCAATGAAGAGATACCATTTAGAAATAAGCTTTAATCCTCGACTCCTTGTATTGAATACCCTTTTGGAATTCCCCACGGCAGCTATCCCCCTCGATCGTACACCGTCCGCTGCGGCAGCATCCAGCGCCTGGCGGGTGGCCAGCTGGTGCCTCTTTCTCAGATCATAATCCACAAGGACTACTCCAGCTCGGGCTCCTCGGGAGCCAACGACCTGGCCCTTCTGCAGCTGCAGACCCCCGTTACCCTGAACGCGAACACACAGCCCATTGCCCTGGCCCAGGAACGGGCTCCGGCTGGCTCTCAGGTGACCTTCTCAGGGTGGGGCTCCTCCGTCATCGATGGCTCCCCCAGCCACGCACTCCAGGTGGCCACCCGGGTGAGCTTGAGCCAGGAGGAGTGCTACAAGGAGCTCTACTTGGAGCAGGAGGATCTGCTCTGCCTCTCGCCCAGCTCGGACGACACTGACTTCTCCGGCTTGTGCTCCGGTGATGCCGGAGCTCCGGCTGTCTACAACAACCAGTTGGTGGGCATTGCATCCTTCTTTGCCGGAGGCTGTGGTTCCGGCCAGCCCGATGGTTATGTAGACATAACCCAGCACCTGGAGTGGATTTCTGAAAATACTGCTTAAAAAATATTTCAAATACTCGCCCTGAAAATGGATGAACTAGGAAACATTAATATTTATAAAAGGATTGTTCAAAACCAAACAAAATAAAATGACGAAAGATACATTTCTTGAAAAGACCCTAGAGTGCCCTTGTCTAAAAGCTCTCTTAAAATGCCTAGCAGATATAGTGGGCTGATCATTATGGAATGTGTTACTTGAATGGGATTAGTTTCTTATAGAAGAATACTTGCACAAATTCTAAGCCTGTGACCTAAGTCTCTTGGCTCATATGTATATATGAGCAAAGATTATAAAGTACATAGATGGGACATCAGGGCCCAAAACGGTCAACTTTTTGCGTCGAGCTTGATGGTGAGGGGGGAACGCACATGCATACGATTCTATTTTTAGAACTCTTTCCATGTATCCGTCAACAAAAATGTGAACCTATGTGTGTATGTGTGACTGCTCGCACGACGGAGTAAAAATGTTTTGGCTTACAAATTTCAATTTCGATTTCTCGTTTCTGTTTTCGATGCGCCGATGTGGTAGTTGGTAGAACAAATAGTATTTTGATCGCCGCGGATCGAGACAGGATGGTAGCGTAATGCATAGAGTAGCTACTCTATGTGTAATTTTTATGTGTTCAAATCCTCGTAAGGACTTTGAACTTTTTCTTTTTTTAATAATTATTATTATTTTTTTTTCTTTAATTGTAATATTTTTCTTTAATTTTACAATTGTAAAATTGTTTAATTCTTCATTATGTACGGCTAATAAAATTTCAAGGGAGTCCTTCCGGTATTTTGTCATCCGACACGTCCGTCACTTATTTTTACAACCATTATAATAGAATGCAATTAAAAATAATAATAATAACGTAAAAGTTAAAAGTAAAAAAAAAAATAATAAAATAAAAGTAAATATAAAAAGAATCATAAAACTAAAACTTTATCAAAATTGAAACAACCGCCCGCTAATGAAGTCAGGACCCCATGAATAAGGATCGCGCACTATCCATCTAGGCTACCCTCGAAGTTGATTTTATGATACTTAAAATTGGTGTTAAAGGAGGCGCTAGAATCTATACCAAAAACAGAGTTGACGAGTAAGGATAGTAAAAGATATTTCTGATCTCTTTACTCTTACATTGGTTCGATTACATCGTTTCAAACTTTCATCGTTCCAAAGATGTTACGATCTAAAAATAGAATTCTCTCTCTCCCTATCTCATCTGCCAGGCGTTTGTCGTGGAACCCGCTCTCAAATGTTTTCATTATACAGCGGGTTCCACGACGGAAAAAATGAAAACATTTGAGAGCGGCTTCCATGACGAGGCCTACCAAAATGCCGTAGAACCCGCACTTATAGACATTTTTACAGCGGGTTCCACTACGAACTGAGACGATGTTAAGGTGATTTTACAATTTTGTATTTTTTTTTATTGGATTATAAATTTAGGAAAACACATTAAAATAATAAAACAATAATATAAATAGATTTAAAATTAAAAAAAATGGATGTCCCGAGCCTGGTTTGAACTCATTTTACTTTGCACATCAGCCAAGCACTCTACCACTCGGCTATTCCTCATTCGCTGTCTCGCGAAAAATTTCTCAAACTTAACTTGCCGCGCAATGGAACCCGCTCGTTCCAGCGGGTTCCACGGCTGGAACCCGCCATAGAAAATTTTTCTTTGTATGAGATGTCCCATCTATGTACTGTATAATCTTTGATATGAGCTAAAGGACATAGTCTGCTGATTCTGACCTTTTCGATCAATCAAATAATATAATTAATAAATATTATTAAATAATATATATTCAAATGATTTAAAGAACTCTTTGATTACATAAGTGGTATTCTTATATACGTTTATATTATAAGCCTTTAACTAAATTTTTAACCATACTTGTGACTCACATATTTTTTCCTTCTAAAAATCAACTTTAAAACAAACCTATTAATCTTTAAGACATTTATGAATGCTATTTTTAAGACCTTCAGCTCTAATCGTAAACGAAGGGCTCTTCAAAATCTGATTGAAGTGGATTTTTTATGGCGAAAAATGGTTACCTTTTAAAGATTTTATTGGGTGATGGTTTCCCTGTAGTGATTTGCGAAATAAATATGTACCTCCTTTGAAGCGGGAATTTTAGAGCGCTATATGTTAGCTTTTACTCTTTACTAATTCTTATAAGTATTCTCATCGAGTTTTCAGAACAATGCCTATAAGTATACCACTAATTTTTGTATCTGAAATTTAGGCAGTTCGTTTTTGGGGATATTTTGTAAATTTATTTAGCTTATTCCTTTGATATTGGCCTATGCTACTATTTTATGGTAATCAACACTTTCCCTTTTTCTTTTTGGATAAATCTTAGTACTTTTAGGAAAATAATTAATTTTGATTGATAAAAATATTATTTCTTTTATAACTTTTATAATAATCATAGTTTATTAAATTAGCCAATTTAAAAAAAAAATTAAAGCTTATGGTTAAAGTTATGTTATAAAAGGATTATTGTTCTCTGGCATTTAATTGTCTGTTTAATTTTTCCTTTTTTATATGAAATGTTTCCTAATAAGACCTTAAGAACATAGAGTTGTATCGTGTATTATATAGCCTTGTAATGTTATCAGTTTCTTTTTAAAATTTTCCCGTTGCCAAAACTTCAACTCCCAGAAAAAAAAAATCTGTCACTTTTGCTGTTGGCCAAGTTATTGAGTCAAAAGGTGTTTATTGCAACTGCTCCTGAATCCAGTCGTAGTATGAGGGAATGCTAATGAAGCGCTCCGGGAGCATGCCACCGCACTCACCGAGCATCTGGGCACCCAAGCCGACCAGTTCGCCTTCGAAGACGGCCGGGCCGCCAATGTCGCCGCTGCAGATGCCCTGGCGACGTCCATGGCCCAGGCACAGCACCTGTTCGTTCTCCGCCACGGGCTCTTCCTCCGTCTTGGACAGGGCGCATTCGCGGGGGGCCATCACCTCGGCTTCTCCGATCTGAAGAGTGCGGTGCATGTTCACCTCCGACTCGGTGGTCCTGCCCCATCCGGAGATCTCAATGTTTGCGCCCTGGGGCGGGGTCTCCCGGGCGAGGGGAATGGCAGCCACGTTCTCCCCGAAGGGCAGGTCCTCCTCCAGGCGGAGCAGGGCCAGGCCGGACTTCAGAGTAACGTAGTTCGGGTTAAGGATGATCTCGGCCACTCGGACCTGCTTGCCGCCGGAGTAGAGGTCCACGGAGCCGACAGTCACCGCGAAAAGCTGGGGGGGCCATCTGTAAATTGTTGTTGCACTTGTGTTATTTATTTTAAGCAGTATTACCGGAATTTTTAAATGTGTATGACCTTAAGATGCCATAAAGTATCTTTGATTTAATATAAAATAAACACTTATTATGATCCCTTAAATAGCAGATCTCTTTTGTATATTTGAATGATCCCTTTAAATGTGGTCTTAAAATTTTGTGGGAAATTAATTTCTGTAAAAAAAATTGTTGTACTTACGCTGTGTCCTTTCCCTCGGAGCAAACGCAGGTCAGAGCAGTGAGGGCGTACCGCTTGGCAATCACAACGGCGCCGCAGTTGTAGCTTCCGCCTACGGAGAGGGCGGCCTGGTAGGGCAGCTGCCCGGCTACGGCATCCTCGCCCCCGGCAATCCTGCCCTGAGGCAGCGCGCAAGATCCTGCAACAAGGACGAGTCCAATAACAAATGACAGCTTCATGGCCTTTCTGATTTCGATTGTTTACTGAAAACTTAAATTTTATGGCATCGCGTGAGCTTTTATAGGCCCTCGGATTCGGGGATATCTAATCGAAGGAACGGACAGCTGATAGCCGAATAGATAGTGCCATCCGGTGACAGCGAAATACACCTGCCCCTTTTGATAAGCAATGTTGGTGGGGGGCGGGACGATGGTGCGCCGATGGGGATCGGGTATCTTCCGGGAATCAATATTTTGAAGGCACGGACGGACGGACATCGTGGTCACCTGGGGGGTTAGCGAAAAATGATTATAGATTTTCTATCTATATGTCATAGACTTATAATACTTTAACTCAGTCTCTGTCCAATTTTGAGGTCTTTGAGTTTGCGCCTTGACTTCTTACTAATAAATATTATAATACTACAATCTCCTTTTAAAAATAAAATTTGATTTAATTAGTTTTTTTTTTTTTAATTCATGAAATGAGCTAAGAGCAGTAGCCTTGAAACTCGACTAAACATATGTATAATAACCCAGTTTTTCACTTCTCCATGGGATATTTCTTCGGGAGAAATATATAAATTAATTAAATTGTGTTTTTGGGTATTTAAATATTTAAGTTTTTATAGAGACAATGGAGCTCAAAGGTTTTATTTTAATAAATCTCTTAATGTTTGATAATGCCTATGGAACTATACAAAATATTTGTGTCTCAATTTTAATATATAAATATATAGATGCTGCACTTGAAAGCCATTTGGAAACATTTTACAATCTAATTATATGGGTTTTCAAAATTTTCGTAAATACCCACTTTTTGACAACATAATTTTGCGAAATATAGTCTGCGTAGGCTATGACAGTGGAACCCTAGTATCAACGAACTCTGGCCGGGTGATGGACATATGGATGGTGTCAGGGGGAAATTTGAGGCGGGGAACACGTTTGAGGCATGCCACCAAGTGGCAGGGGCAACGATCGCAGCCGCAATCGCAGTTGCAGGTTGCAGGTTGCAGATTGCAAGGCACGTAGCTCGGGCTCATCTCGATCTCAATCTCGATCCGAGTTGGCAATTTGTTTGGCCAGGCTTTTAGCCACACAACCAGTTGGCTCCCATTCCGAGCCGAGCCACATAAAAATAAAATGCTTAAATGGTCTGTTTTCCGCCAGTCTTCTCCATTCGCAGTCTGAGCCTCGTCCAGTAACCAGTGACCACTGAAAGTGACCATGATCTTGCGAAGATCTCACCTTGCCGCCGGCCACCTGCCGCTCCTGCCACTCCCTCTGCTCTGGATGATCCTCGCCCTCCTGCTGCCAGCCACCATTCCGCCAATGTGTCACGGGAAGACCGTCGGACCTTCCGACTCCCTCCAGGTGCAGCTTCAGCCGGATCAGGGTCTGCCGGAGCCCAGGGCATACATGCCGGACGCCCAGCACCTCGACTTTGTCTACCACGACCACGAGGAGCTCACCAGGTTTCTAAGGTGAGTTTAAATGGAAATTTTGTAACTCATTAATATTTTGAGAAATCCAAGTCGAACCAAGTTCATTCAAAAAATCTTTAAAACATTCGAAAAGCGCATATTCAAAATTTTCCAAACACAAAAAAATATAAACAAATTCAAGAGTAATTTTTCGCCAGACATTTTTAAATCATTTTCCGACACAGACGTATTATTTTTAAATCCCTCGAGTTTACCGAAGCAAAATCTGTCAGAAAGTCAAGCTGTCCAACAATTTCTTTAGGCCTAGATGTCTGTGATATTTTTAAATATTTTAGAACTTTAGTCACTGGATTTTAAGCATTTAAGCGGCACAGCTTTTGGGATAATATTTTTTCATTTTTTGTTTTTTTTAATAAACACTGTTTTTTTGAAAATTTGTATGGTAAGTGAAAAATGGCCTCTGAATATGCATATAGCATAGGTATATATATATTTTTTGGCTTTTTGCTTAGAACAAAAACTTAATTTTTATATTTGCTTAGGAAATCTTAGGAAATTGGTATCTATCTACCAATGCCATAATTCAGAATCAGTAGTTATTTCATACAGTAGTTATGCTACACATTATTGATATAATCGCTTAAAATGAAATGAAACTTTTTCTTAATTAACAAAAACGCTTCATTACTGCTGATTTCGGCATCATGTAATAATTTACTTGGAACAAGAAAGCAAAGCTAACTTCGGGCGGAGCCGAAGTTGATATACCCTTGCAGTTAAAACCGGATATATATCGCAAACATTGGATATAGTTGGCCGATCCTTATGAGAATATGATAATATAACCCAATTTATTATAATACAAAAACCAAACCTAAAAATGTCCCAAACTTCTATCTTCAAAAACACAAAAGTTGGGTCATTTCCGATCGTTCAGTTATATAGCAGCTATAGGATATAGTCGGCCGATCCTTATGAAATTTGGCATGTAATGTTTTGCCAAAAAATGCTCTCATGTCAAATTTGAACTCTCTAACTTTAAAAACGTCAAAGTTATACCATTTCCGATCAATCAGTTATATGGCAGCTATAGGATATAGTCGGCCGATCCGGATCCGTTCCGACTTATATACTGCGTGCAAAGGAAAGAAGGGTGTGTGCAAAGTTTCAGACGATAGCTTTAAAACTGAGAGACTAGTTCGCGTAGAAACAGACAGACAGACGGACAGACAGACGGACAGACAGACGGACATGCTCATACTTTATAGGGTCGGAGATGTCTCCTTCACCGCGTTGCACACTTTTGGACAAAATTATAATACCCAAGGGTATAAAAATTCTTTTTTAAAGCAAAGCTTGAAAGAAAATGGTTGATTTGTATGTAAATTAATTTTATTGATTTCCTTACTATTCTTATAGAGCCACAAGTGCCAGGTATCCCAACCTGACGGCCTTGTACTCCATCGGCAAGTCCATCCAGGGCAGAGACTTGTGGGTGATGGTGGTCAGCTCATCGCCCTATGAGCACATGGTGGGGAAGCCGGATGTGAAGTACGTAGGAAATATCCACGGAAACGAGCCCGTCGGCCGGGAGATGCTCCTCCACCTCATCCAGTACTTCGTGACCAGCTATAACACCGATCAGTATGTGAAGTGGCTGCTGGACAACACAAGGATTCACATCCTGCCCACCATGAATCCGGATGGCTACGCAGTGTCCAAGGAAGGCACTTGCGATGGCGGTCAGGGCAGGTGGGTTCGAGCCCGCTTACTGAAATTTTGTGTGTTAATTTTTTAACGTTTTTTTAGATACAATGCCCGTGGATTTGATTTGAATCGCAATTTTCCCGACTATTTTAAGCAAAACAATAAACGCGGTCAGCCCGAAACGGATGCTGTCAAGGATTGGATTTCCAAAATCCAATTCGTCCTGAGTGGCAGTCTCCATGGAGGCGCTCTGGTGGCCAGTTATCCCTACGACAATACCCCCAACTCCAGTAAGTAGTCTTAGAAGTGTGTGCAAACTTTCTCTGGGTTTTTCTTTAAATTTTTTCAATGAAATCGTATCTTTTAAATACGATCTGTATAAAAGATACGACAGATACGGTTGGTTCGCAACCAAAACTTTGTTAGGACGCATATTATTTTCTTATGATTATCTAAATAGCCGTCATAGCCTCTTATCGAAGAATAACTTTACAAAGTCCATAGCAATCTGGTTATTTCTGGTTTATAATCTCAAATATTTTATCTCCATTTAATGTCATATTCATATTTCATATTCGAACATTGAATTGTCATTCCATTGGTTTTAAACTTTCTTTTTTAATTTGATCGTTATTATCTTAAATTATAAAAGTTTCCTTCAATAGTTGACCATGTTCTACTCCTCCTAATGTATTTTTTTCTTTGCTTGTCATTAGAAATGGTTTTTGATTTCACTTATCAAGATTTAATTCTAATTTTAAAATGCTCGCAAATTATTTTTTTATAGTTGCAAAAATTTATTAAAAAGATACTTTAAAACTTTTAGGTTTTTAAACTTTATCCCTTGGATAAAAGTTAGACGCAGTATGTGAAGTACTGGATGCCGTGAGGTTTATTCAACTTAGCCAACTAACTTACAAGTTTTATTAATTACATATATAAATATCTTTGATATTCACCTTAATAACGTAGTTATTTTAAGCGTTCTATAAATAAGTGTCCCTTAAATCCCTCACCCCGTTCTGATTGATAAAGCTCCTTTTGTACTTTTCTACCAATATGGCTGCTTAAAGGGATCTGCCGTTCGTCCGCCTTGTGCGCGAGTGAGTCCTGCGAATCCTGCGAACCTCTCAGTCACAATCCATCTAATTGAATTTGCTTCTTTTTTTTTATTTTTATTCGCTACCTTGAAATCCCGTGACCCTGCGCTTCCGCCAAAACATGTCCCCTTGGCGCAGTGTTCCAGACATACTCGGCGGCGCCCTCCCTGACCCCAGACGACGACGTCTTCAAGCACCTGTCCTTGGTCTATGCCCGGAACCACGCTAAGATGTCCCGCGGCGTGGCCTGCAAGTCGGCGACTCCGGCCTTCGAGAACGGCATTACGAACGGAGCTGCCTGGTATCCACTGACTGGGGGAATGCAGGACTACAACTACGTCTGGTATGGCTGCATGGAGATCACCCTGGAGATATCCTGTTGCAAGTTCCCACCCGCCTACGAACTCAAAAAGTACTGGGAGGACAATCAACTGGTGGGTTATTATTTTTTAAAATTTACATAGACATTTAATCCAAAAAAGCATTGCAATGGTTGGTTCAATGCAACCAATGCATTGGTTCTTTAAATGAATTGTTCCAAATCCACATTGAACCCTAATAGGGGCTCTTAACTAGCTATGAGCTTTCTTATTTATTAAATAATTTATATTTTTTTAGTCCCTGATCAAGTTCCTGGCTGAAGCGCATCGTGGGGTCCAGGGATTCGTTTTTGATCCGGCGGGTATGCCCATTGAAAGGGCCTCCATCAAAATCAAGGGTCGCGACGTGGGTTTCCAGACCACCAAGTACGGAGAGTTTTGGCGAATTCTTCTGCCCGGATAC